GATTAAACGTACTGGAACGTCCTTCAATGCAGATTAACTTTGAAATAAACAAACCCTCAGAGCGAACGCATAAGCAATGGCCGATATCGCAGTGGCAATGGTTTCAATGGAATATAGCCATCAATAACCTAAACATTGCTGTTAGATCATCAATGACGGTAAAATTGTTCGCATCACAATGGGACGCTAAATTGGCCAAAAGAGAACGCCCGAGGTCGGCACGTAGAGATCTCAGAGCCTTACAGTGAGTGTCTACGTCAACATGGTGGTGGATACTGCTCATGTTGACGTACAAAACCTCGATAAATCCTCTCGCGCGTTCTGCGTTGGACACAGCAACGACTTCAGTTCTGCCCCAATTCAGTCGGTGGTCATACTCGAGTTCATGAGCAAGAACCAGGGACAGTTAGTCGTGTCAACAGCGAGCTATCTACTCTGTGTTTGTCGGTACGGATGCCCAGGCGTCGACCTGCATGGACAACATGGACGCTGGAGCGATTAGTGTATGGTCTGCTGCTCTTGAGGGATGGGATCCGTTCTTCGAGATAATGCTGAGATAGGTAGGGATTCTGGCTTCTGGATAGTGCGGTTATAAAACCCATTTAGGCGCTTGCAGAACAACTCAGAGGTTACCTGAATACAGGGCGCGAAGTAGATTTTATGCGCCACACTTTTTTTCCTTGGAGTTTGAGTGGCCCTGTGATTAGGGCGTCAAAATTCTAACGAAAAGGTCGAGGGATGGGGCCTCAGGTGCGAAATTTACATACAGCTCTAAAAAAGCTACTTTAAAGTTGTATTTATTCAGTATATTCAAATACCACCTCTCACACCTCATTTGCCCCCTACAGTATACTTTGCAACTGAAGTGTTTTAATGCTTCACTTTTCTGCGCAGTCTCTTTCGGGTTCGCGACTATCTGCTGCTGATGTCTCTGTGCCGGGGTATCCTCGTCTCAGGCAAATTCCTCAGAGGGAGCCTCCTGCCGTTGGCTTACTCACAATGCTTAAGGAGTATTGCTTCTTTACACAGTTCCCCGATTCCATTACAAAAACCGTAAGTCAGAACTTGGACTCTTATGGTTCTAGTTTTCTTCAAGTCAAGCGACGAAACGTCCTCTTGATCAGCAAATTCTCGTGTAAGCACCTTTTTTCTGTCGAGTTTTTAAGCGATGCCTCCCCATGTTATTGTAAAACTGCCCAACCTTTCGCCTACCATGGAGACGGGAACTGTTGTTAGCTGGGCAAAGAACGAAGGCGACCAGGTAAGCATGGTTTACTGAGTTTCCTAGCTCTTAGGTTGGCGAGGGTGACCTGCTCGCCGAAATCGAAACTGATAAAGCGACCATGTCTCTAGATGCGAACGATGAAGGTTATATAGCAAAAATTCTTGCACCTGCTGGAACGAAAAACATACCCATTGGAACTGTAGGCTGATTGCTTTCTGCTTCTTACTTCTATAGCCTCTATGCGTTATCGTTGAATCACAGGATTCAGTCTCTGCTTTTGCCAACTTCAAGCCGGATGCGGTATGTTGTCTTAATTTCATTCTAGGTTTCAAGTTAGATCCATCTGTAAAATCCATCCTTGCTGAGTACCTTCTGACTGGACCTCTTAATCTGTCCCGTCGGAAATCCACTTGTTACGTCCGGCATTTTTTACCTATTACGCATTGGGTTAGCTAAGTATCCGAGCTCAATGTCCTTTCGTTGACCGCGTCTTGTGCTATGCATTCCAGAAGACTGAAACTCATGTTGGCTGCGTTTGCTTAACATCACCCGTAATGACAATGGCGGGGTACAAGCGCTTAAAGAACCAGACTTACGAGCTTATCCCCTAACAGTGAAATACCATCAAAATGCCGGGATAAATTAACCGCCTGCATACCGGTCTTTATATGCCGGCACATTAGTGCCTGGATTGTGCTGGCATATCCGTACCACCTTGGTGCCCGTCCGAAGTAGACTCACCCTCCCGTCGTGTGAAATGCACCAATGATATCGCGTAAACCACGCCCACCCCTCGTGTTCCACGCATTTTGAGAAAAGGGGTCGTTTGATGCATGTTTTCCTTTTCGCCAAACTGATTTTAGAACGCAAAGAGCCGCTCCTACTGTTTCCGCCTATCGACGAGCATGTTGCTGGCAATCTTAAGGGCTGTTCGCGACTCACCAACGAAAACCGCCGTCTTGTGGTCTTTTCCGGCTTCCTACACGTGGTAAACCTCTGAAGGAATTGTACGATTAGGTTGGCTATAAATACATACCCTCAGCCACCTTGTACGTGTGCGTTGCCAGCACAGTAAGACTGACTCATTGAATAATTGGAGACAAATCAGCAAGGAAATCCACTGTTAGCGTACGCGCATCATACAGAGAAGTGTCGAACTCATCAAAATCCTACAAAGCCTGATAGGGAAAGAGCGGACCCGATATTTTAAGCACCCGATGTCTTTGGACACATTTCTTATCATATTAAGGATTTCCGGAAGATTTTCTTCGACGGCGACAGCTGTCGTCCAGGATGCCGGTTGAAGTTAGGCTTCGCCTGTGGACCAACCGAATACTTTTTTGAGAGCTTGCGCCGTTAGCAGATCGTCCTCGGTGGTGTTGCTGACAGCAATTGTGGTGGTGTGGCCGTGATCGTGTGGTGGTTGTGCAACGGAAGGGGTTATCACTTAATGCATCGCTACTGCTACCTCTGCGCTGAAATCTGGAAGGCACGGGTATGGTTGAACCAGTGTTTCGCCAACTGATGGAGGGACTTCTTGACAAGAATCAAGATAAGCATGCCACTGCCGTAATACAGATGACTTAGGGAGTGGGCCGTAAGATCGTACTCCGATGATTAATATTTAGGCTTTTGCAGAAGCTGGCCTATCTGATGCTGGTATTGAGGTTCGTTGCACGCCACTGGTGGTCTACAGTCAAACGGGATTTGGGATAACTAGTAGTTTTAACTAAACATGTGACCATGATAATACCAAGCAGTTGGTAAATATGTCTGACTGATCGTACGGTTCGTAAGCAAGGTCCACATTGGCACATTGCACAGAAGGCGTATCCGCGACAATTAGGAAAGAGCAGCAGGAATACGGGATTGCATTGGCAAAATGCATTGCCGAGCTTATTGTAATTTTCAAATTATCCATTCCGCCTGCCCACTTATCACCACTAATCTCCGCGTTTGTGGAAGGCCACGCCTTTGGTATCGGTGCACCGTAATTTCTTTGGGCGAAGACATTTTAATCAAAATGTAACGGTCATTTTCCAAAAACTATGATCATCACGTTGTCCGTCAGTTCTTGAGAAGTTTCTCCTCCCAGGCTGTCCCATCTTCACCACGGATTTCGTATTCAAGCATGCCTACATATACATCACGGATTTCTGCAATGTTTTTTTTAAAATTTCTGGTACATGCTTCCTTAGTTGGTTTGTCTAGCTGATTCCATACACGGAACATTATTAGCGGATGGTTGAGAAGCTATTTAATCATAGCATAAGCAGTGTGTTGACGTACGTAGAAGAATACGAATACTTTATGCTGTATAATTGTGGGGTAGTTTATATAGGTTTAAAATATAAAAAAACAACCATTTAAACTTCAGGGTTTTATTTTGCAGATTTTTACCTTTCGCGGGAGTTCTGGGACGCAACCCCCGCGTCTGAGGAGGAATCATTGCGTACCAATGTGCACCATCAACTCCAATGCACATCCGACACTAGCCACATTAAGTGAGATGCCAGTTGTCTGGCTTTTCTGGCCAAGGTATACATACTGCTCTCCTGACACTGAGGCCACACTGCACGTGATCATTGTCCCTAACGCCGTCTTTGGATATAAAGGCATATCTTTCACGACCTCTAAATAGGGGTAGCAAGCCCCTCAGCCAACAATGTGGTGTACGCGACTAGACAGTCCGACCTCGCCCTCCGTTATGGTCAGCTCTATGCGCAACCGCCGTATTTACTCTGTGCATACAGAAGCCTAGCACACTGACACCACCGAAACTGTCCGTAGAATTTTGAAAGCCTCATCGTTGCCACCGTGCATTCTGACGCCTAAAATAGGGAATTGGACGAGCACTCTGGACCGCCCGTCTCCTTGCATTCTCTTCCCTTTACAGATGCATTTTATTGTCGAATGATAGCCTTCTTAGTTTTTCTTAGAAACATGTAAGCAGTTAGACAAAAGGAAAAATGCAAAGAGAAGGTGGGTAGATAAAAATTACCGCCATTGTAAGGCGCGTCAAATGGCGTCCAACCACTAAGACCGGAGCCGACGCTTTGGTCATAATCGTGCTTTATTAAAATGTGTCCCTTGATCTCCACTGTCATCCAGGGTGCGACAAGGACTGGATAACTCTGTAATATTTGTTGCCTGGCCTTTGTGCGCACACTTACTGTCCGCGTCACGTCAATTCCTCGTGTTCACGCGCACTATAAACCGGCCGGTTCCTTCGTTCAACATTTGACACTCATAAACCAGCCTGTCATTACGCTGACGGAGATTTCCCAGAATCACTACATCACGTATCTCAGCCAATCAGCGTGTGAGCATTTCCTGGCACGGAAGTGCCGAGAATATGTTGGCATAATGTTTGCACAGTGGTCCGTCCTCGATCGCGGGAAAGCGTCCTGGAAACCCAGCGGAAGGTGATAATCCGCGAACCGTATATTTTATGGTTATTCAGTTTATTTTAAGCGTTTGTAAACCCTCCTATATTCTCGTAAACATTTTTTCAGTTATACAGCATAAATCCTTAACATTCTCTTAAATATTAAGTAAAATTCGTTGAAATTACGTGTGTAAACACAAATGCGCACAAATATGCGTATCGTGTATCCCTGAGTTTTATTTACTACGCAATGCAGTTTTAAACACATTGTAGTGATACATATTCTAAAAAAATAAGGCCAATGGCGTTCTGTGTATGGGACCAACTGATGTAGCGTGTATCAGAAATAATAAGGCATATAGTCCGTAGAAATTGGCGAACTAGGGAAAAATCCGCTTGCATATAATATAGAGTAAAGCGGCGAAAGTTAGCGCCATATGGCGATGGATTACTGTTTACTATTAAGGCAGGTTGGAGCAAACCAGTCGTCGTGGCCAGTGACCATTTACATGTTAGCGAGACATGCCACATTGTACTTAATAGTGGTCAGCGGCACACGTAGTTTTTGCTGTCAGCTGTCTCCTCAACTGTTCCCGTCCCATTGCTTTGAATAGAAAAAAATCGGTAAAGTCGGATAGTCGCGCTTTTAGAATATCGAGTCTGTAAAAGGATGATCAGCCACGGATTTTGGATGCCAACTGAATATGCCGGAATCGCTTTAAATGAGACCGTCTGCATTCACTGACAACACGATGGTATTTTAAGTCTTCCGTAGAGTCGTCTGTGGCGGTTTGGGCACGTTCTTCACTACTCGCGGCATGTATACGGTATTGATCTAAATCTAAGACCAGAGGTCCCCCAACTTGATTGCTGACTGCCGTCTAATGTCCTCAAACCGCTAGGTTTCGTCACTTAACCACGTTAACTGCTCTGAGAGCTTTCCTGAAGTCCACGGAATCCCGCTCCCCGTCGATATAATTTTGCCAGGGTGGTCGTTGACAGTGAACGTTCTCTGATGGTCGTGCTGTTTTCAGGTCCACTACAATGTATTTAGAATGGATTTTTCTTCGCACGCAAAAGTCTGTGCGAGAAAAAGGTCCTGTATTCAGTTCGGTTTGTTGAGGTTTATAGGCGTGAACCTTTCAGCACCTTATTTACGGCGTAAGATTGGATGTAGTTTATAAAGGACCCATGTGTACTGGAATAGTCAAAAAGGGACCACACATGTAGGACAATTCAAGCACGAGTCTCGAGGGCCGAGTTCAGTCTCATCGCTCTGGCACATTTTCGGAAATAAATCTCCCAAGTTCCTTTTAAACCTGTCCGTCGGTGGCGACAGTGCGACTGTCGATTCCGACGATGTCCACCGTATGCTCCACAATTGGGTGAGCAGGGACAGTGACCTGCGCGTGATTTATGGAGAGTGGACTTGCGCGTCATCTACCACACCCCCGTCCTCCCCCACTTGCACCCAGTGTCAAGACAGAGCCAAGAAGACCGGAGACAAGGCAAGGCGCAGGTGGATG